AAATAAAAAGTGTTTATTGTAACAAAAACCTTAGACACACAGTTTATGAATACTAACATCTAAACTAGGCCGAGCCTGTACCTTAGATGTTAGTTCCTTCCAATTGATACAATATATTATTTACAATTTATAGCTTGTAATGTTTTATAATACCATTGATATCTAATGCACGAGTATGACAATACAATAAAACAACCTTGAGAGACAGGAGGGTACCTAATAAAAACTACTTTAAACAATATCAAACTTTTTATGAATTACCCGCACAGAATGAATTCACTTTAGTATAGTCAAACCACTAAAACAATGAACTTAAATAATAATATTATGTATATATTTTTATAACTTTATTATTTTATTTATTTATGTGTAAAGTGTAGTGTAAGGTGGTGTATGCATCAGTGTGATTAATGTTGATAAGAATTTAAGTTTTATTTATATACATATTATAAATAGTGATTATTGAAGATTGTTTCTTTTTCCCGCAAATTGGATATTAGTTAAATTTGCTTAGTAATTAGTGTTTGTTAATTATTTATTTAGTATTAATCTACATACTTTATTATAACTAGTAAAACATACATGCACAGTAGACCAAAATTGGAAACAATAACACACCAGATTCCTTTTATCTTTTATAACTAGTGTATTGAGTTATTATTACTGTTATATATGTATTTTTAACTTGGTTACTGTAAAACAACAAACAAGTTTTCAATATCTACATAGTTTTGTTTTTTTAACCAGACTGTTACAACTTTTTTGCAGCAATAACATGTTAAGGGATAAAGGTTAAGTTTTTTATTTAATTTATTGTAAAGCATGGGGCCAATATAGCACTGGAATTTCCTAATAAAGAAAGTGTTGTATGATTCGGTTATAGTTTGTTGTGTACGTCATTATTTATCAATAATTAAGGCTTTGACTGCTGACAGAAAACTGTTGAAGGTAAATCCTCCGCTAGTGTGGCCCATATGTTGTCCCCCATGGCATTTAAGGTGTTAAGCATGTCAGTTAAGAGTATATTTCGATAAAACCTAACTTGGAGCTTGACATAACAATTTATCATTTCCTATGTGTCTTTAAATTATGTATATGAGCCTCATCATGAAGTAAATGTAAGTTATGCTGAGCATGCATTGAATGACATACTAAAACAATTGTGATTTCAGCCGTAAATCTAAAAATATTTATAATGAACGTGGTCAAATAGCAGCAACAGGCAAGGATCTCTGTGATTGTTTGGATGAAACTTGTTCAGGTTGTCACTTTCCATGCCCCAAGTGTAATTCAAATAAGTGTGGACATGAATGCAGGTAGAGTTATGTTCATCAACAAAATCCTTCAAAACTGTAATGCTATAAAAATATGTCATACTAATATTTGAATCATTGTTTCAGAGTGAATAGAAAGTGGATGTATGACAAAATAGAAATTGAAGGAAATGACTTTGTAATAAAAAATGAATACAAGCATAAATAATATTTACTTCTTAAACAAACTGTGTCTTAGCTAAGAGTTTGAAGAAATATTGAACTTCAGTTTTCCCATCCTCAGGCAAATCTGTGCAGTGTATAGCATTCTGAATACTTGTTTTTCCATAGAGAGCTCTAATACTGTTTGGGTACAATTGACGACATAAGCCCTGTAATAAAAGTGAATAATTTATTGTTACTGGAATAATAAACCAATGACATCTGAATGACTTTTGAATGCTTTATATGATACATAAATATGTATGTTGCAGTCTTATTATTATAGTGTGGGAGAGCCATGCTTCGCCACGAATGGGCCGGCTCGACCGGAGTGATACCACGGCCTCACAGAAAACCGACGTGAAGCAACGCTTGCGTTGTGTTTCGTCGTGTGAGTGAGGTTACCGGAGGCCCAATTACCCTCCCCTTCCCCAACCGTCCCAATTCCTGAATCCCCAACAATCCTCAAACTCCTAATCCCCAAAAGGCCGGTAACGCACTTGGAACGCCTCTGCTGTTCCAGGTGCCTATGGGCGACGCCGATTGCTTACCAACAGGTGATCCTGCCTGTCTGCCTGTCTGCTCGTTAACCGGCTTATGCCATAAAAAAAAATTAGACTAGAACACTCAATAGTCACTTTAGAAAGACAATTGTAAGTACCTACTATTTTTTCTTTATAAAAGAACAGTTGTTTAAGTTAAGGAAATTAAATGATTTTAAATATTAAAAGAAGAGTAAATAATTTACTTTTCTAAACACTTTCATTAGTTTTCTGCTTGTGTTGTAGTATTTAGACTTCCATAAAAGTTGTGAATTATTAGGGAACTTAGGGAAGGCAAGACGTAAGTAATACTATACCTCGTGTGTTCATAAGTTTTGAGACAAACTTTTTGCTTATAAAAATAAAATAAAAATTACTGGCTGCTGTATATTTCTTTTTCTAATTTTGAATTTGGAATGTTAACTTTTAATATCTATGATTTCGGATTATTTTATTTAAATTTTCTCGTAATGGAGGGAACAAAAGAATTACGTGCGACCGTCATTTCATTATTTAAGGTGGGAAGAAAACCTATGGACATTTTCCGAGAACTGAAAAGTTTTGGTGTGAGCCGTAACTTCGTGTATTACACTATTAAACGATACCAGGAGACAAGTTCTTTACATGATCGGCAAAGAAGTGGTCGTCCACGCTCTGTGAGGACGCCTGCGAACATTAAAATCATCCGAGAGCGACTTCGCCGAAATCCATGTCGCACTCAGAAGAAACTCGCTCTGCAGACCAATATTTCGCGCGTTTCAGTCAACAGAATACTGAAATATGATCTCAAGGTTAAGGCGTATAGCCGTAGAAAAGTACACTTTTTAAACGATCGCCTTCGTCAATTGCGACGCGAACGTTGTCCAATACTGCTTAGGAGACACGATGCGAGGAAGATACTCTTCACCGACGAGAAAATCTTTACCGTCGAAGAAAAGTTCAATCGACAAAACAATAAAGTGTATGCCAAAAGTAGCAAGGATGTCCCACCTTCAGCACGGAATGTCTCGCGTACTCATCATCCGGCTAGTGTCATGGTATGGTGGGGAGTTTCGTACGAAGGTGTCACTCAGCTTCATTTCTGCCAACAAGGCGTCAAGGTGAAAGCCAAAAATTATCAAAGTGACATTCTAGAGACTGTTGTGAAACCCCTGTCTAATACCCTATTCCATAACAAGTATTGGGTTTTCCAGCAAGACTCGGCGCCATCCCATAAGGCTAAAACCACCCAAGCTTGGCTGAAGGAAAATGTGCCGGCCTTCATTGCGGCGAACGAATGGCCCTCCTCCAGCCCCGGCCTCAACCCGCTGGATTATTCTCTATGGACCGAATTAGAACTCAGAGCCTGCCGAAAGTCCCACCCAAACTTGGAGTCACTTAAGCGAGCTCTTGTCCGAGAAGCGAAGCGAATTCCTCTGGAAAAGATTCGTGCCGCCATTGATGACTGGCCAAATCGTCTAAGGGCATGTATTAAAAACAGGGGTGGTCATTTTAAATAATAATTATATTTAATTTTTACTTACTATCTACTTAATGTTTGTTATTGTTTTTATATATATAAGTTTATTATTTAAAAAGATATGCAACTTTTAATTTGTCTCAAAACTTATGAACACACGGGGTAGATAGATACTTAGCTCTCAGGTACCCAAACAATCTTACCGGATCTCGAGGGCCGGCTAATTGTCTGAATTCAGAAACACAGTTCAAATTAGGATCTATGCATTGAATTTCCAATACTACACATTTTCCTTCGGCCAGGTGTATACACATACCCTGAAAACTTCGGTACATAAATAATTTACAAAATGAAAGACGGCGTGTGACGCTGGCATTGTTTGGAGTAAGGTGACTGAAACTACGGATCGCGACCCATTGGTGGGTCGCAAACGAATTTTTATTGGGCTTTATCAGTAGAATAACGCACTAACCAACTATTGTTTTTTTAATATTGGGTAAGGATTTTATATTTTAAAGGTGGATCCTAAGTTTGGGAACTATTATTTAACTATGTCGGAGTACACATAACTTTGGGAACCAGTCCTTACGAAGCATCTTTAAGAGCCTCCGCCCGCCGCGAATTACAAATAAAGCCTTAAAAATGCCATTCTACCTTAACTCAATATAGACAATTATATAACACTACAAAAAAATCTATGTTGCGGTCACCGGTGACCGCTTGGTGTTTGACTGTCAAACACGGTACTCAACGAGTTAAGAAAAAGATGTGCTATTATAACAAGCTTTGGCCCGCCGTGTATTACCTACCTAGTCTACCTACCCTATAGGTACTTTTAATAAGTAAATGTAGGGCTCGATCGATACTGATGCCCAAAATATAATGAGTAAAATTCTTATCTGTCTGTTCTCAACGGCTTAACGATACTTGGTACAATTATTTTTCATACTCCTGAGGTGGTTATAGTATAGGTACCATTACGCTACAATCAATGGGAGCAGAGCAGTGAAGAGAAATGTTGTATGTATGTACATAGGCTACTTTATACCTCCGGGTATGCGAGCGAAGCCGCTGGCAGAAGCTAGTAGACAAATAATTACCTCGAATGCGGGTAAAACTCCTTTATATATTTCATAGAACTCTTGAGCATCAGCTATTTCAACGGAAAACATAGCCATAGCGGTAATATGGAACTTTCCTGTAGCTGTAATTTGTTCGAGAACTGCTCCGACGTTACCGTCTAACAATACGTGTGGTTTGATCACGCAACAAGTACAATTTTCATACGTTGCTCTAAATGGTATTCGTGGCACGCCATTTTCGTAACCAAAATATAAGTCTAACATCTGCAATAAAATAAAAGATGTACATACAGCTATACAACTATAGACTATTCTACTATACATACAGCTATACAACTATAGACTATTCTACTATAAACTGATATAGGTATATCGATATCATGAATACTCGGTAAGTAGTTACATGTTACATAATAAGGTAATGCTGACATTTAAATAGATCTCCAGAGTGCACAGACTAGTGCGAATTGTACTGGGTTCGGAAGTAGGTAACTACAACAATCGTCGTGCGTTTCTCGTTACCCCAGTAGGAAAATAGTCGGTAGGTACAGAGAGATAATACGTGGAAACATGTCTAATATATATGCGTTATTTTCTAACTGGCACGCGGCGGTCATTTAGGTACAGCGTACAGCATATCACATTGGGCTACCACTCAACCTCTCTATAGTATCCTACATACTTACGTCTTGGTAAGGTACGCACACACGCATACACACAAGGAACATAAGTATTTAATTTGGCGAGCATACACACCTCTGCAGCGTCATTTACTGAAATACAGCCATGAGCGGCATTTCTGAGAATATTTTCTCCAAATATTTGTCTGAGTGTGCCAGGTTCAGCATCTGCAGGGTCTGTTGCACCTAGACACCGACGCCATTCTGCTATGGCGTTGGGGCCAACAAGTTCTAGACCTATAACTTCACCACTAGTGACGTAGTCAATTATAATACTGAAAAAGTAGCAGATGTAACGACGCAGTATCCAATTGTGTCCGACCAGAAATAAGGGCAAAGTTATGGACAGATCTCCCCGCGTGGTCAATTTTACTGGAGCAAACTACCAAGTGTGGGGGAGCCATGCTTCGGTACGAATGGGCTGGATCGACCGGAGTGATACCACGGCCTCAGAAAAGAAAATTGACGTGAAACAACGCTTGCGTTGTGTTTCGTCGTGTGAGTGAGGTTACCGGAGGCCCAATGATGACCCACCCCTCCCCAGTCTCCCCAATCCTCGAATCGTAAACAATCCTCAAATTCCCAAAAGGCCGGTAATGCACTTGTAACGCCTTGGTGTTTCAGGTGTCCATGGGCAGCGCTGATTGTTTACCATCAGGTGATCCGTCAGCTCGTTTATTGGCTTATGTCATAAAAAAACAAAGTCAATCTTGCTGAGTGTATCTGCCCTTGAACCAGATCCACAGCCGTCTGGATGTGTTCCATGACTTTCATGAGTCTGTCAGTCTCGCTATTACCGCTGTGGGACCTCTACAGGCACGAATAGTCACGGGGGTGACAGAAAATAAAGCGATTGAAGCGGTAAGAAAACTTATCTACAACATTCTACTTACGGGAGCATACCTTCCCCGACCATATGTTTATAAAGCTTCGTAGCAAAATCTTTGCTGATCTTTCCGTTTTTCATTCGTACAATACGAAACCCCTTCTTCATTATGAACGTGATAATAGTTCCATGTTTATTTGACGACATGGGTTTGATCATTGCAAAGGTACTGTAACGTATGTACATAATGTACGAAATACAGATAATTGAGGTCTTTTCTTCATAATCTTAGCTGAGGTAGGTCACTTTTGTACTGCATGGGGATTATGGGGATGCTAAACAACACTATCGAGAGAAATCACAGAGGCTTTTCATTTTAACGATAGTCCTAAGTAGGTACTCTGAGCGAAGGTAACGTACCCTATAATTAGTATAACATAAAGACTTCACAAAACAAGAGAAGTAATACATAGGTACCTATACATAATACACTACTGTTTGGCGTTTGCACCATAATATAGGTGTAGAACGAATCCGGCACAGCAATTTTATAGTCACCACACCCAACACAAAATATATACGGCATACACAACTCTTGAATAAGTTTATAGCCATACCTTTCTACTTTGCTAAATAAAGTTCTCTTTGTTAGCGGTGTGCAATCGGTAATAAGAAGTAATTTTGAAAAAACATTCACTATATTGCCAATTTGTAGCATTTCCCTTTTAAGCGTTGGCAATTGCACACGTCTTAGTAGGCTTTTTCCTTTTTTTGGGTTTATAACTTGGCATGAATTATCAAAAGGGAAAAAGTTAAGTACTAATTCAACTATAATATCAGCGTCTTCATCAAAGATTTCACAGAGAAATGTATACTTGTCAAAATAATCGAACACCTGAAACAAAAACGATATGTGGATAATAATATTACTTGGGAACGTTCTATAAATGTGACTAGCGTTTGGGGTCGGGGTTAAGGAGATGGAGGGGTGATTTTTAGTCATAGAGTCCGATCCCTCGCACTTTACCCAGCGCTTCGATTTCACCCCTTCAAAATAAAGTAAGTTCCTTTATAAGGAACGGTAAGGCGTTAGGAATACGGCAATGGTAAAGTAATTAAAATTAAAAAATAGTACAAACATTCGAATGTACGTACCATTTTTATAGAAAACGATATTTTGAATAATCAGATCAAACATAAAAATATCTTTTTTTTTTGGTAACCATCAAAGTTTTCATCTGGAATCAAAGAGTTTACACCCCTTTACTTATTATACTCTTTGGTAATAAGTCTGCAATACAGTGACCACGCCAAGCAGCCAAACAATGACAACCAGAGTATAGGTACATAGGTACTTATAATAGTTTTTTTCGCCCTGTATTCCAAGGACGTTGAAAAAAGGGTCTGTATGGAGGGCCGTCTACTACGCTGGGACCCTTGGGCACACAATAATTCGGGGCCCTTTTGGATTTTTTTTAATGATGCCCCACGCTAGGAGTTATTTAATATGGGTGCATTTACAAAGATACAAGTTCACATACACATGACACCCAGACCAGGAACAACAATTTGGGGAGCACATAAAGATTTTGAATCGAACCCGCTACAAATTGCGCGGCACCCGGTTGTTGTGTTCGTTGTAGAAATTGTTGGTCCTTCGGGGTCACCTGAGGATGGGCACAGGCCTCGATTGGCCCTTATGGTAAAGACGGTACCTACTGTCTGTATATGTCTACATCATAGTTTGTATACATATAAATTAACAATTTAACAATTAAATTTCAATTAACCCTTGAACAGGTGATCCGTCTGCTCGTGTGCATCCTATTCTCCTATTCCATAAAAAAAAAGAATACAAAAATACGTCCGTAATTATTGAGTTAAGTTTATCCTCACGGCGTGTTTTTTATAAAAAATATAATTATGTACGGTTTTCTTATTTTTAGACAATTTCAACGTTCTTGTTTTTATTCAAAATCCAAATGGCTTCTGGACGTACATTAAATTCAAATTGTTGAAGTTTCTGGACTCGTTGACAGTACAGTAACGTTCTGACATTTCTGTCTGAATTCTGACAGTGACAGATTTTGTAAAATCTAGTTGCTGTTTCTTCCGTTATTTTGTTTGTTTGATTATTATCGAATTGGTATTGATATTTTATATCAAAATGGCATCACTGTTATTGTCGTTGTGATTTTTAGTCCATTTTTTGATCTGTTTTATTAATCGTATATCCCTGCATTGATTATTTTAATAGAATGGTAGGTAATCAAATAATTTTACATAAATACTTTTACTTTTGGATTTCCATATAAAAATATAGGTATTGTGTTTATTGTTTAGGAAGGGAGCTACATTGAAAGATATTCTTTTATTGGAGAATGGTACGATAACCAAGCCAGCCTCATTCGTCGGTTTAATGTATTTTATTACCCTACTGACGACACATTAGAAATGTATGATATAAAAAACCGGAAGACATTTGTGAGAAGAGTAAAAGTGAATGGAATTAGCCTGCAAAGCTTCTACATTGGTTGCACTCTTTATATATTAGGTCGTCTTATTAAAATTGTGGATTTTGCTTGCGAAAACACTAAAGTGAAATTGCAAAGGGATATGCAAGTGTGAGTATATTATGAATTGCATTTAGTGTGATAAACTTATATACTATTGTCAGTAAATACGGTTCTATATATTTACAGGACATTTGCATTAATTAAACCAATACCTACTATGGTAGCTGGCAAAATATTGTCTCATTTTCATGAACATGGGCTCCGTGTGTCTAAGATGAAGAAAGCACGCCTAAGACCTGATGATATTGAAGTTTTGTATCGCCATCAACTCACTGATCCTACATTTCCGTAAGTTATGATGCATGGCAGGTGATATTTCAAATAAACAAAGTCCTTTATTAATTTCTTGAAATAGATGTAACTAGCTTTTACCCGCGGCTTTGCTCGCGTCACAAAAGGATAAAAGTAGCCTATGTGACATATACCAATACACACAGCACCATCTATACCAATTCTTTTGTTTTCCCTTGGGAATATCAAAATTTTCCGGGATAAATGTACCCTATTATTTATTCTGGACTTCTAACTTTACGCCTGCAAAAATTTACGGCGTGAAAGCGGAACAAACAAACTCACTTTCCCATTTATAATAGTAAGGATTAAGTAAATAAAATATGTACTCACCTAAAATATTCTTTTACAACATTATTTTTAAACTTATTATCAGTGACTATGATAAATTATAGGTTTTTGCTGGATCACCTTACAAACCAAGAAGTTTTTGGATTGGAACTTGTTGGTAGAGATGCACACGCTAGATGCTTGGAACTTCTAGGCAACCGAGATCCACTGAAAGCTGCAACGGGTACCATAAGAGCTCTCTATGGTACTGATCCTGTTAGGAACTGTGTCCATGCAGCAGCAAGTCCCGAGGATGCATTAACTGTAAGTAAATAAAGATCCTATCAGCTGTTACCTGATTTGTTTTTATTTGTATAGCATTTTGGCACATGTACACATTGTCTGTATAATAGTTTTGATAAATTAAAATAACAAGTACTGTTATGTAACCCTCCCTTTTCCAACTTCCAAGGTATGTGGAGCCCGTCTCAATGGGTTGAGTAAGTAGAATCATTGCCTAAGTGCCAAAGAAGCTCTGACTGGCTTCATTCAATGTATTAGTGATTTTGACGAAATTTGCACCTAATTTAAAAATAAACAAACTTTGAACCAATTCTGATGTACCTACATTAATTACATTTGATTTTAAACAGGATGTTGACTACTTCTTCCCTCCACCTCCAATGCGATCGTTGCGCCTGAGATTGACTGCAACCTTATCTAACTGCACTCTCTGCATAGTCAAGCCACATGCAATTCGAGAGGGTAAACTTGGACTAGCTCTTGAAGCCATTGATGAAGGAGGGTTTGATGTTACAGCACTCAATATGATCATAGTGGAGAATATTAATGCGGCAGAATTCTATGAGGTTTATAAGGGAATTGTACCAGAGTACAAGGTGAATTTTGATATAGAACATAGTCTTAGAATCTCTAGCTTACGGCGCGTCGCCTAACGCGCGCGCCTCAAAGAACCATAGATGGGCCCAATAGGGCTGATGCCGATACGGAGCGGCGGAGAACGTAAAAGGTTACCAGGGCTCCGTCTCGAAGTGCAGAAGTAGGAACGGGGTGGTCTTTAGTCAGTAAGAGTCTGACACTCTTGCCTCACCCAGGCGGGAGAAGTCATTCAATGATTTTAACTCTTAAAAAAAGCATTAAAATGTCTTCCATATGGTTGTTGAAATAAAGTCAGATAAAAGACTTCCCGGGTCACATAATAATTATTGAATTAATTATATTTTACATAGTACACACGACTCAAAAGTCAATACCCTGATTAGTTACTCTTTAAAATGATGTGTTGTAGATAATCATAGTGCTATTTAATTTCCAGGGTATGGTGGAAGAGCTTTCGAGTGGGCCTTGTGTAGCAATGGAAATAGTGTCTAAAGATAAAACTGTCAATACAGCAGTTGAGTTTAGAAAACTAGTAGGACCAGCCGATCCGGTAAGTTATATGAAAGTAATCTGAAACATCGCAAAACTTGGTACAAATTATTTTACCTGACTTCAGACTCGGAATCGAACTCTAGACAAACTAATGCAAAAATTGGATAGGTTGCAAATATAGTATTACAATTACTAACTTGTCTAAGAAAAAATAAAAATGTTTATAAACTGCAATTCTCGAAATGTATCTATCTACTGGCAGGTTCATTTAAATGTTTACATGAACCTGCCAATACAGGCAGGGCAGTGACCGCCGAGTCCGAGTAGAGTATAAATGAACTAACCTTTGTTCCATGGGGTACACAGGAACTACAGTGTGCCACCTGCTATGATTTGCATTACTGTTAAATGATCATATATGCACGCTGTCATTTAATCACATATTGGATTATACTTTATCTTGCAGGAAGTTGCCAGATTGTTGCGTCCTTATACACTGAGGGCGAAACTTGGAAAGACAAAAGTTCAGAACGCCATCCACTGCAGTGACCTGGCTGAAGATGGATTACTAGAAGTCGAATACTTCTTCAAGATATTAGATTTGTAATAAGGCTGATGTTTGAATGGATTTTTTTACCTTTATGTTAATTTTATGTGTGATTGCGTGAAAAGTTTATGTATTTGTGAAGAATAAGCATTAGTCGGTAGTCTGATGGTTTTAATATAATTTGCACCATTTCGCACAGATTCAACACATTGATAAAATTATTGTATAAAATAGCATTCTGTAGTTCATTACGATTACAAGCTGTCAGTATCATAATTTGTGCCTTGAATCTCTGGAGACGACATTGGTAGTCATTTAGAATAATATAGTAATCTTAAAGATTGATATGAAAAATGCATGCTTGCAATAAAACTAATTTATAGATATGACTGGTATGTGTATTTAGCATAGCTCTGGTCTGCACATTTTATTTTTAATTTATCTTGCTTATAAATTCGCCTTATAAAGGTTAAAAAATAATAACAAAACTTGATCATAGAAGTGTGATGTTAAATTGAAATATATGGTAACAGTCTTATAAATCCGAGAGAAATTCCATGCGATGTTATTGTCAATACACAGCTCCTCGTAAAGATTTGCCAAAGAAGTACCTACATATATAACTATTCGCTATAGTGCGCGTTCAAAGATTTAGATACGTATCACACCATATTCCTCTCACTTTTCAAGCGTGTAATCCTATAACGCAACCCTATGACCTCGTTACATTCAATCACGGTGTTATACAACCACGACTGTGCCACGGGAGTGCACCGCGAATACTCAATGTTAAATAATAAGTATTATTTAAATATTTCATATTATATTTTCTAATGAATTTCTATTGTCAGTACACAGTTACGATACGCTTATGTGTGCATTTTTTAATTTTTTATAGTATTTGTCCGTTGAGGGTTGTGCAGTAGTTCTTGGCTAGTAACGAGATGTTCTGGCGGGTGTGCGCTGCGCCATTGAGTGTTTCTTTGCCATTCGTCGGAACAATTCGATAAACAAGACTGATAACAATAAGTGGTTCACGAAACCAGAATCGTTGTATTTGCTTTCAAAATCGAAATAAATATTTTTAAGCAAATTTCTTCGTTTTTATTTTAATTGATAATAATATTATATAATAAGGCTGCCTCGTTGGCCTAGTGGTCGCAAGTGCGACTGCCGGGCAAGGGGTCTCGGGTTCGATTCCCGGGTCGGGCAAAGTATTATTGGGTTTCTTTTTTAAAAATTTACATTAGTAGCACGTTGTCTGGAATTGTGCCCGGTATATGGCAATAGGCACCCCCTATAACATGGGTCTCATAACATAAAGAGTGAAAAGTGGGTGTTTTTTTTTATATATTTGATGGGGCGACGTTTGACCAATATCCCGCCTGGTAGTAAGCGATGATGCGGTCTACGATGGAGCACGTCGTCCCATAAGCAACCTATTCACTTGGAGAAGACTCCCAGGTTATTACCTTCAGGAAATACAGACTCTGGCAAAGAATACCACTCTTTAGCAGTACGCTCTAGGAAGCTTGAAGCGAAGCGCTTCGTGCGTGTGGGCGGAACATCTACCTTGAAACGGTGACGCTTCGCCGATTGTCTTGTGGTACGATGATGGAAATGACCAGGGGGAATCAAGTTGTGCAGTTCCCCCGCACTCACCGAAATGTATCCGGTAGAAAGGCTTGCAACCTTACGCCTGTGTTCGAGGCTTTGAAGCCGGGCCTTCACAAGCACTGTATAGTGGCATAATGTGCACCTCTGCCTTTATGTTATGCCTGTTATGTTATGTTATTTCAATAGATGCTATTCATTAGGTACCTCATTAATACTGTTTTTCATGTACAGATATGCAGTTGAGAGAGTACTTCACCTGTTGTCAATGTCAACTTTGTTCCACACCCAACTGTTAGGCTAGTATTCTGTGGTTAGGCGTCGCAATCAACCCTAAAGATTGACGAAGCACTCTGTAGACACCATGCGTCAGCGTAACCAACAAAATGTATGTGGGCTATGTTAATGGCAATGCACATATTTGCTTGATGCCGTCTTACAATTGGCAGAAAATAAAGTATACGATAGTCGCCACCCTGGGGGCCGGCGGGTATTCCACGCCACAATAAAGCAATGTTATTGGCCGATGTTGGATATTAAGTTATTTGATATGTAAACGAAGATTCCACTTCTTTAAAAAAACTAAGATTTTCTCCTGTACGCGTACGATACACTTAATTCCACATAAGTACAGGACTCCTCTGGCTTTTGTCTGCGGCATTATATCCCGGATCTACTCTGAATGACAATTTGTAAATAAAAAGAAAATGTTCCTTGCGAGTATCGAACTCACGACAGCCAGTATACATTTGATAGCTGGTCTCCTAGCCTGTCTATCACGCAGTTGTTCCAATAGCTATCCACTGGTTATTTATCAGTTACATCCAGTTACTTATTTGTCAAATAAAAACTATTGGATAAATTTAATGAAATGTTTCTATCTAATAGAGAGAGACGGTAGCTGGGCAATGGGCACCTAGGCTCTTAGATACGTAGGTACCTATTTACATATAGCTAATTGCACTTAAAATAACATGGAAAAGATTCGACATCTATTTATAAACAAACATTCAATCGGGTTAAATAAACGATGCTTAGGTACTTTCTTTGCAGGATAAATTATCTATAGTAGGTACCTATATTTAATAAATCTAATCATATTACATTCATAAGTTCAGAGAAAGACGTAATACCTAGTACCTAGTACCTAGTGCCTATTTAGTAGTATCGACTATTGACTCGATGTTCTAAGTAGCGTTTGCCTTTCACCGCGTACAGAGACATGGAGATGTTATTGGTACCTTGGTATTGTAGAACGTAATGCCGTATGAATGGCGTATGAGAGGGGACACGCATAGGGCTGCGCCAGTGCGGCGTAAACTTTTCGGCTCGCGGTCGCGTATGCGCAACGACTCGAATTTCGCGCGCGCTAACCGGTACTCGCTTCACTTATCTGTTCATTTTCGTAAAATAACGATACTCGCGCAAGGATCAAAATATTTCGTGTGCGAGTAGTAAATGATAATAACAAGAATAAAAAAATCAAGCAGTGTCAGTTTATTAGATCGAGGACTTAACGACAATATTTACCTACCTACTGTGGATTTTCAGCATTTCCTGATAAGATTTTCAATTTACAACAGCAGAGAACGAGTGTTTTATTACTGAAAATATATAGGTTTGTAGTAATATTTTTGATATTTCTTTAAATTATAATCAAGAATAATATACTTAATTAGTTAATTAATTGTGTTTATTAATTTATCCATTAAGTATAAACAAATTTTGATTAAGAACTTATTGTAAAAATTAATTTCGTATTCTTGTTTGAAAATATATCGCAGGAAGTTTAGAAACATTCTTTTGAGGACACATTATGTATGATTTTATGAGGTTAAACACCTCATAAATTTCTAACTTTGTATTACGAATTTTCGCATAAATGTTAAACCTAATCGTAATCTATTTCGAGTTTACTAGGTATAATTCTTCAAATTACCTATACGTATATGTTTAGTACCTATCCAGGTAGGTTCCGAGCTCAGCTCGGTGTCGGTGCTCTTAATTTTTTAGAAAAAAAAGAAAAAAAATAGTAGCCAAAAGTACAAAAATTTTAATGGAACAAAATATAATATAGAAGTCAGAAAAAATAATACTGATATTCGGGCAGAGGAATGAACCCGAGTGTCTTGCGTGAAAGGCACCCGATATCCCGACTAAGCTATTTAGGTATACGTTAATAGTACCTACGTACCTATAGGCGAAATATTGTTTCGAATTGTATTAATATGATAGGGGGTTTTTATTCAATGAAAACAAGGGTATCCACTATTTCTAAAAATCAAACCTAATTAAATTGATTTATCGCCCCCGAAACCCTCTGAGTACAAAATTTCAAGAAAATAGCTGGAGCCGTTTCCGAGATCGTTAAATAAATATCTATAAATTGCTCATTTAATGGTATTAGATAATAACAGAATATTTCTTAACGTATATAATTATTTTGGTATTCATTATCATAGAATTTTTTATTAATTTAGGTAATGTAGTCAATGCGGTAGGTATGTCAAATAAGCTATTGTTCTTGACAAAGCATTCTAGCTAATCACTCATTTGTTCAGTTAACTAAATAGTTAATAATGTTATAAAAACACTAGAATTACTAATTCAGTTTTAGGTTTACGAAAAGCCTAGTAAGTGGTATCATTTTTTGTATCAAATTGGTAAGTACCTACGTACCAAGATATACCAAGTTTTAAAGTCTTTATGGTTAAAGTAGTACTTAGCTTCTGCCAGCGGCGTCACCAGTGTTCCTACCGTACGTTACCCTATATTCTTACCCATGTAAAAAGTAGACTATGTTTTCAATTGTTTTCTTCCAGACCATTATCTACCCCTGTTCCAAATTTCAGCCCAAACCCGTTTGACGTGCCGTTTTAACGTGATTGCGTAACAAACAAATACACAAACTCACAAACTTTCGCATTAATAATATCTACCTACTAGTAAGAAGAAAAATAGTAAGATTAGCAAGATTCTAGAGACTCCTATTTTAGCACTAGCAGCGGGAGTATCAGACTCTTACTGACTAAAAACCACCCTTTTTCTACTCCTGCACTTCGAGCCGAAGCCCCGGTAACCCATTAAATTCCCCGCGGCTCCGTATCGGCATCAGCCCTATTGGGCCCCATCTGTGGTGGTCTGATGGCGGTCTGATATTTCGGTACCTAATACTTAATGCAATGTTCCTTGTGATTATTGAATCATAATAATTATTGCAAAATAATACAATAGAACTAGTTATTTGATTTTTCCATCTAAGCGATTAGGAAACACACAGGTTGCACCAGCCAGTACATTAAACATTAATAATAATATAATCTCAAAGCATTTCAACTACTCACTCGGTTATTATACTTATTACTCATTTACACTGATGTTTTGAAAATAGTTATTTAAACAATTCTGATCTTACATCAAATATTATGCCTAATAATTTTGAGAACGATAGGAATGGCTTGTATATGTAGTGTCGGTTCGACAATGTAAGTATCTACTTACGTATCTGCTGCCCAATTGGTACCTAAGTTTAATTGAATAAATAGAAAAACTAATGCATGCACAGTACTTGTAAAATCGTACAAGTACCTACCTACCTACGTCTTGGCATGGTAGGTACCTATTATTGATGGTGGGAAAGTTACGTGCCCTCGAAAATAGGAATTGCAAGCTCAAAAAACGGTTGTAGATAAGATCTCTTTCAGGTTGTATTGGATTCCCAATCATCAATCACTAGATTGCACCCTTTCTCGCATTTGCGGTAGCATTTCAATGACTGATATTCTTATTAAATAATTCTTTTATAAACTATGTTTTAAAACACCGACTTACACTGCCTTTTTTAAGTCTGTTAATTAATATATTACTGTCTATATTATATAGTTTGTTAATTAATTTATATACCTTCTCCTAAGTGTAACAAACACTTTTCTAAAAACATCATTAAAATCGGTATAGCCAATACATACATACAGGTCAAACTGACAGCCTCCTTTTTAAAGTCGGTTAAAAATCTAATTGTTGGGTAGATTTAGTCTATTGCATAGGCATCTATTTATTTATATTTTAGCATACCTATTACATACATAGATTCTTGTTGTATTGTACTTAGGTAGTATGTAACTTATTTTAGTACCTACCTAGTTCTAGTTAAATAGCACAAACTAAACTACAACAAATGACACTGAGGATGATGTTAAGCAAGTAAGTATAGAATTTTATGTAAAACTGTAAAATCAGGAAGCCCTGATTTTTCCTATACCTACTATAAGTAACTAAGTAGATACCTATTTCCACATTAATTTTCCTGCACATGAGATAAATCAATTATTCAACTTTTTAAAGTAGGTAATCGTAACTGAATCACACGTAGGTTGCATAAAAAGTAGAATTTTATGTTATGAGAACTAGAGAACGATCGCATCTCTCTTCTTATTGTTTCGTTGTTATGCAGTTAGCGGGAAGAATAAATTAGTTTTG